AGCTTACCTACTGATCACCTAACTACATCACTTAGTTAGGAGTCTGGGGCATTGGTAACCATTGGCTCTTCAGCCGGAATCGGTTGGTCCCAAAATCAACTACTACTCTATTACTCACCAAATCCTTTCTTCCAATAAGTAGTAGCTCATCATAAGGTTCCTTCCAATCTCCAACATAGGCGGTTACACTCCACAACGCACCACTATTTGACTCTTTCAAAGTGAACTCCATTACTCCTAGAGCCTTCTTTCCAGCACTTCCAGGTGGAGCTAATGTAGCTTTAGTAGGCTCACACTTAATCCCGGCTTCTTTCAGTGCGAGAGCCAATTTGTTCGCAACGACCGATACTGCGGCGCCCGAGTCAATTGTAGCTGATACAGGAATCCCATTTACAGACCAGACGCTCGAGTCTTCAGCAGGTTTGGAAACTTTCCTTTGGATTTTCGCGAGGTTACCCTTTCCCACCTTAGGGCCCTCGCCTAATGAAAACCCTGTTTCTTCCCCTTTTTAGACCTTTTGTTGGATTGTTTATGATCCTCCATTTTCGCCGGTGACTCTTCTGCCTGAGTGTCGACCTCTCCAACGGTAAACTCTGATGCTACTAGAGCATCCACGCGGTGACGTTTATTATCGCCATCACGGGTGTCCCTATCCCTCTTCAACCCTCTAACCAACGCTTTCTGATCTTGTCGTTGTTCATACATGAGCTCTTGTGCCGCTGAGAGCATCTTGGTCGATGACATTGATGGTCTCTTGAACAACTTAGAATGCATTTTATCTTTGTGGGGTGAGTCCATCGACGAACACCGGTCGGATCACTGCGTTGAGCATTTCGTCGTCGTAATGGGGGTGCAAGGTTCTCCCGATATTATACACGTCCTGATAAAACTCTCTCAGGTCTTTATCACCCATGGACATGTGGTGGAATTGCACCGCCAATTGAGGTCCTCCCAACACCTGTTGAGTTGCCTCTAACACCGAGGGTATCCAAGTATCCCATGATGACGCACTCTTTGCTCCCGGGCTCCATCTCAGAACTCTTTCCACAGTCGTAGGTAAAAGACTTTCACAGTGTTCCTTTGCTTGCACAAAGCCGATACTTTGGGACTTTGCCCATGACTGAAATCTGTCAAGATCTTCCGGCATCGTCTCAGGATCTTCGAAGCTCTTTCCCATTTGAAAGGGCATGGGAGGAGACACTAGTACTGTTGGGGTCGCGGACCTTCTCGAACTAACATCCGCTAATGGTGAGGATGAACTGACTGCCTTGGAAGAACTTTTTCTTCGACTTGCTGCTTCTTCTATCCTGGTCCTAGAGGTCCTGCCTGTAGCCGGGGGAGATTTCCCATGTTTAGGAGGAGGTGGAGGAGGCCTGGCAACTGACTTTGCTTCGGGGGCTCCACTACTCTTGGCACCTACAACCGCTGTTGGAGGAATATCATCCTCAACCAACTCACTTCTCCCTGGACGGCTAGCTGGTGCTTTGGGAGCGGGAGTTTTAGGATCAGCTATACGGTTGAACCATTCCTCGTCATTAGCATCGACCTCGCTCTCCTCATTACTCACTACGGAGTCTGCCGGCTCAGTATTGGACTCAAACTCTTGTTCGGATTCGGACATTAATGAGAAAACAACAACCTGCGATAAAGACCTTTATAGAACTTTAACACACTAGGTAATCATTTATGCCATCCGACACCTATGGAACAAACTATTAAGTATGTTAACCCAATCCAACCTCTTCCTCAACTCGGGTCCAATCGTGACTATACTGGAATATTTTGCCGATCGTAATGGATCGGATGGACTCAGAGGTCTGTTACCTCAAATCTAATCATCTCTTAAGGTCATGTTTCGTCCTCACCACAAGGACTCATCAGTGGCTAACAGTGCCAGACACACCTTAAGTGCACCCCATACAGGTGGTTATCCAATTTACCCACAGGTATGGTACCTAACCCTAGAAATTCACTATCGTTAAGAAAGCAATTCCAGTATAGGTCTGTTACCAGGATAACAACGATGCGTAATAAGGTATGAAAGCAGCTGACCGCCACACGAGACATGCGACCCGTGGAGGAATCCTCCACTGTGGAAAGAAAGATCGATGAAATGCTAGCTACGGTTCTCAAGCCTCGGTAGCTCAGTCGGTAGAGCGCGTGCCTTTTAAGCCCGTGGCCGCGGGTTCGAGCCCCGCCCGAGGTGAGTTACATTGTATGTATGTCGATAGTCATGTGCGGGGAGTAATGCCTAAGGTTAGCCGCAGTTTATAAACTGGTCGGCTCCTCGAGGTAGGTGTAGCCCTACCTGCAAATGGAACCGCATTTTTCGATTCCCATACCGCAGTAACTCTGCTTCGCTCTTCCATGGGGTATCAGCGCCTTTCTGCCGAAAGCCAAATATTTAAGGAGAGCCTTCCACGGTGCTGAGAGATGCAATGCTCGAGGAAACTCGCCGGTTAAGTTCCCTCTATTTCTTGACTCCTTACTCCCGGATGGGTACGTGCCGATCCCCGAAACTTGAGCCCAGAACGCGTGGCCACGGAAGATCAGCCCAGCAGTCTGGGAGAGGGGGCCGATAATAACCTGGTGAACAGACGCTTCACTACTAAATACGGTTGCAAGATAAGAATGAGCGGGCCAGCTGTTCATTGGATTGCAGCTCACTGAAAAGCTCATTTAGTAAACTTTCAAGGTGCGCGTTGTCCGACCTCATTGCACCCTGAGGGGTATCCCAAACAGCCCTGCAGTCATTTATAGTAAACCAGATTAAGTGCATCCACTCCTTTTTTAATAGGTGACCCTCCGCAATGAGATTCCCTAGTATATGTGACTATCGTTCAGGGGGCAAGTGTTGCACACAGCTGCTAGCGCCACAGCTGTCATTACTTTTCTCATATGAAGGAATCTCACGTAAAATCTGTGAATATAAGCGTCCACGCGGGAAACCGGCCACTTTCGACATTTCTGACTCCACGTCGGGTACTGCACTGTCCCACTCTTCCTCTACCATCCTACTCGTACCACTCGTTGACAGTTATGGCCAAGTGGTCAAAGGCATTAGCTTAAGGCACCAGTCCGCAAGGACGTGGGTTCGAACCCTATAGCTGTCACGGTTATCGCTTGTTTAAGGCTTAATTTCTCGGGACCTCTTCAGAGTTTTAAGCCCACGGTGTAGAGTGTTGAGAGTTGACGTTCATCGCCACTGGTGTTACTCAAATCGTTACCGGGCATAGAAATGCAAAGGTATTCACAAACCTACTCAGTGATATGATTACTAGTGATTACGATATACGAGTAGCAAAACCGAGTTAGACAGAGACGGTTACATAGATATGTGAAAAGTATCCGGCGAAACGCATGCGTTGTGTGCAGCACGCCGGTGCAACGCACTATAAATATTATCAAGAGAAAGAGGAGGCTGAAGGAGAGAATACGTCAACTTGGCTGTGAGGTTTATTGGTGTGATTCTCGCTGAGGGTACGAGAGGTCCGACTTCAATTCTCTGCATGGACATTTTGTGACTGATATACTTAGCAGCTGCTCCTTCGACCCTATGATCCAAGCATTTATGGCTTTGTTAACAGCTGCGGTGAGGCTTCTTTGCATATCACGGTGAGCGAGAGTGTAACGTTGCCTACGCAGGGAAATAAGCAAGGACGAGGACGAGTCCTTCATCTTAGTCATTCTGTCCAGTATATGGTCGGCACGCGTTCTATGATGTCGATACGTACCACGCGCGCCACTATGCGTTGCGTATTACTGCGATGAGATCCCTTGATTCCTGCTTTTCTGTGCTATGTTGTTTACTTCTTCCTTAAAAGAGAGACAACGTTTGTGCATGCGTGCAACTACGGAGACAGTTTATTGTGTCACGCTGTAAGGCTAGTAGTGTTGATAAACTAGTTAAAAAATTTGAGTTTGTAGCAAGACATTGTTAGTTGTTCACTGTTACTTTGACACATCTACTCTTGACTTATCTTGTAAGAACGGTTGCGTTTTTAATAAGCTGAATTCTGTGCATTACACAATGTGTGAATCCAAGGTTTATGGCAGCAGGTTCGTCTATAATGACTGACGTTGGTCACCTTCCGTATCAAAGCGCGCATGCTTCCGGACTGAAGTAGCTCGAGCTTAAACGCGAACTGTAGGAGTCGTCCGAGCCCCCCAGGGGCGGTTCGGTTCGTTGTATTCGGAGCCCGGGTAGCTCAGCTCGGAGAGTACCAAATTCGAGACCTGGAGGTTCTCAGTTAGATCCTGCATCTGGACATATGCTAATCTTACAATGTGGAAGTTGAGAAGGCTTTGTGAACACTGACATTCAGAGTGCCGTTGCTCTCGGAATTACGGGAGTCACGCGTACCTTCGACTGAACTCAGACCAGTTCAGAGTACTCGCTGATCTTCGTATACAAAGATGAAACTCTCCGCACCATGTTGCCACGCAAACAGCGATTCAGCTGTGAGGCACGCGATGTGAGCCTCAATCGACGAGACTCGACCCGTGGAGGAATCCTCCGCTGTGAAAAAAAGATCGAGGAAATGCTAGCTGCGGTTCTCAAGCCTCGGTAGCTCAGTCGGTAGAGCGCGTGCCTTTTAAGCCCGTGGCCGCGGGTTCGAGCCCCGCCCGAGGTGAGTTACATTGTATGTATGTCGATAGTCATGTGCGGGGAGTAATGCCTAAGGTTAGCCGCAGTTTATAAACTGGTCGGCTCCTCGAGGTAGGTGTAGCCCTACCTGCAAATGGAACCGCATTTTTCGATTCCCATACCGCAGTAACTCTGCTTCGCTCTTCCATGGGATATCAGCGCGTTTCTGCCGAAAGCCAAATATTTAAGGAGAGCCTTCCACGGTGAGAGATGCAATGCTCGAGGAAACTCGCCGGTTAAGTTCCCTCTATTTCTTGACTCCTTACTCCCGGATGGGTACGTGCCGATCCCCGAAATTCGAGCCCAGAACGCGTGGCCACGGAAGATCAGCCCAGCAGCCTGGGAGAGGGGGCCGATAATAACCTGGTGAACAGACGCTTCACTACTAAATACGGTTGGAAGATAAGAATGAGCGGGCCAGCTGTTCATTAGATTGCAGCTCACTGAAAAGCTCATTCAGTAAACTTCCAAGGTGCGCGTTGTCCGACCTCATTGCACCCTGAGGGGTATCCCAAACAGCCCTGCAGTCATTTATAGTAAACCAGATTAAGTGCATCCACTCCTATTTCAATAGGTGACCCTCCGCAATGAGATTCCCTAGTATATGTGACTATCGTTCAATGGGCAAGTGTTGCACACAGCTGTTAGCGCCACAGCTGTCATTACTTTTCTCATATGAAGGAATCTCACGTCAAGTCTGTGAATATAAGCGTCCACGCGGGAAACCGACCGCTTTCGATATTTCTGGCTCTACGTCGGGTACTGCACTGTCCCACTCTTCCTCTACCATCCTACTCGTATCACTCGTTGACAGTTTGTCCGAGTGGTCTAAGGCGCTGGCTTAAGGCGCCAGTCCGAAAGGGCGTGGGTTCGAACCCCACAGCTGTTACGGTTATCGCTTGTTTAAGGCTTAATTTCTCGGGACCTCTTCAGAGTTTTAAGCCCACGGTGTAGAGAAAGAGGAGGCTGAAGGTAGGGAATACGTCACCTTGGCTGTGAGGTTTAGTGGTGTGATTCTCGCTGAGGGTACGAGATGTCCGACTTCAATTCTCTGCATGAACATTGTGTGACTGATATACTTAGCAGCTGCTCCTTCGACCCTATGATCCAAGCATTCATGGCTTTGTTAACGGCTGCGGTGAGGCTTCTTTGCATATCACGGTGGGCGAGAGTGTAACGTTGCCTACGCAGGGAAATAAGCAAGGACGAGGACAAGTCCTTCATCTTAGCCATTCTGTCCAGTATATGGTCGGCACGCGTTCTATGATGTCGATACGTACCACGCGCGCCCCTATGCGTTGCGTATTACTGCGATCAGATCCCTTGATTCCTGCTTAGCTGTTCTGTGCTATGTTGTTTACTTCTTCCTTAAAAGAGAGACAACGTTTGTGCATGCGTGCAACTGCGGGGACAGTTTATTGTGTCACGCTGTAAGGCTAGTAGTGTTGATAAACTAGTTGAAAAATTTGAGGTTGTAGCAAGACATTGTTAGTTTTTCACTGTTACTTTGACACATCTACTATTGACTTATCTTGTGAGAACGGTTGCGTTCTTAATGAGCTGAATTCTGTACATAACGCAATGTGTAAATCCAAGGTTTATGGCAGCAGGTTCGTCTATAATGACTGACGTTGGTCACCTTCCGTCTCAAAGCGCGCATGCTTCCGGACTGAAGTTCCGAGAGCAACGGCACTCTGAATGTCGGTGTTCACAAAGCCTTCTCAACTTCTACATTGTAAGATTAGCATATGTCTAGATGCAGGATCTAACTGAGAACCTCCAGGTCTCGAATTTGGTACTCTCCGAGCTCAGCTACCCGGGCTCCGAATCAAACGAACCGAACCGCCCCTGGGGGCTCGGACGACTCCTACAGTTCGCGTTTAAGCTCGAGCTATTACGGGAGTCACGCTTATCTTCGACTGAATTCAGACCAGTTCAGAGTACTCGCTGATCTTCGTATACAAAGATGAAACTCTCCGCACCGTGTTGCCATGCAAACAGCGATTCAGCTGTGAGGTACGCGATGTGAGCCTCACGCGACGACACTCGACCCATGGAGGAATCCTCCACTGTGAAAACGATCGAGGAAATGCTAGCTACGGTTTTCAAGCAACGGCGACCGGATCAGACACAAGTGCTTGGGCCCTTGAGAGATATGGGTTAGTGTTATACAGTGTGGCGGTCGGCTTCACGAACACAGGGTCGTATCTCACAGGGTTAGCCTTTGTTGAATCGAACAGCGCACCTGGTACAGGA